TGTGTGTGTGTGTGTGTGTATATATATATATATATATATGGAGGGGACCACTTTTCCTCAGTCATATTTCTAGATCGTTTTACACCAATTTCTGCTAGTTACACAGATTAGATTAAGCATTGTAGCAAACTATAATCAGCTTTGGCAATTTTCGTAGGAACACTAGTTTAACAGCATTTTCCAAATCATAATCTGAAAACAGCTCGAAGTTCGATGGGTTCAAAGTCTCATTTAATAGTAATAAAAAAATAAATAAAAAGCAAACTTACACAAAGTACATAAAAGAGAGCCATAGATTTACACAAACATCACCAGGGGGGAATTTTACACATTAAACAGTATTCGTAGAAACGCAGAAGCTTATCCTCAGGCCACGGTCACAGGTCACCACATTCCACTCTGTAAGGAAAGAATAAGTGTTATTACTAGTGTCGCATTTTATTCCTTTTAAAACTTATTTTCAACAACACTTCTCAGATTCTGCCATGTCAGGAGCAGAACTGCACGGTGTCTACACAGGAGTTCAGAGCCCAGTGCTAAAACATCACAGAAGCATTTTACAAACCATAGTTTATTTTAAAGCGATTCAGCTGCATCTCACCTCAAAGCAGCAGTGAAGCATCCTGGTACTCGGTCTTCTGCATAGGAAAAAAAAGCAGATGTCCACAGGTAAGGCTAACATAGGGCTGGACAATAATTCAATATCAACGTATCGCGATATAATTTTATTCAATAATGGTGATATGATTTTTAAACATATCCGATATTTCAATATACATTACCAGTGTTTCCCATACACTGATTTATTTGTGGCGGTTTACTTCGTTGAATAAACATGAGCGCTGCACGTTTCAAAATCAAAACGTGGCACGGGCGTTTTATATGAATGTATCTCTGAAGGGAACCGACCATCTTCAAAAAAGTTTCGATGGCATTTTCACTTTTATCTGATAAGTAGCGTTCATGAGCGGAGCTGATTTGATTGCGGCCACTAGGCCTACTGGGGAAACCGCTAGTTTTATCCATAGACTGTATAAAAACATGGACATAGTGTCCGTGACGTCACCCGTAGAGTTCCGAAGAGCCTTTTTGAATCCCAAAGTGGGCGGAGCGGGCCGTCGCCATCTTTGCAGCGCGTCACTCCCGGATAATCGAAAATGGGCAAAGAGGCGGGAGCAGGTTGCTGAAACCACGCCCACCTAGCACGACGGTGGTGACAGCAGCGGCAATCCACCTGTCATTCAAGTGGCCACGCCCTTAATTATGCAGAACTTTAAGGCTTAATATAATTTAAACGGATGAGTTATAAAAAAAAATTCACCCCCCTTACAGTTGTCATGAAGGGCAAAATTAGCTATATAGACCAAAATAATTTGTTGAACCAGGCTTTAAACGTTTTTTTCTGCTGTAAAGTTGGGCATTTTAACATGGGGAGTCTATGGGATTGACTCCCTTTGCAGCCAGCCTCTAGCGGCCAGTTGAAGAATTACAGTTTGTCACTTCCGTGTTGGCTTCACTAGAGAGAGCGGGAGGTTACCGCTTGGTTTTATCACTCTAAACGCGCCTCCTGCTGGCAGAAAATCCATTTGCATTTTCAATAACAAGCCCGTCTCCAGCAACATTTCCAGTTTGTAGTAGTTCAATTTTTGTTTTCTGCAGCGACTCGGAGCACTTTTCATTTCTGGGGTCTGCAAGTTTTTATGTTTTTGAATGATGTCTCTTTCAAGAAGAATTCTCACCAAGGCTGCATTTATTTGATATAAAGTACAGCAAAAACAGTACAATTTTGAAATATTTTTACTAAAAATTGCTTTCTATTTGAATACTTTAAAATGTAATTTATTCCTGTGATCATACATAGCTAAATTTTCAGCATCATTACTCCAGTCTTCAGTGTCACATGATCCTTCAGAAATCATTCTAATATACTGATAATAAATATTTAAAACAGTAGAGTACTTTTTTTTTTTCAGTATTCTTTTAAGAATATAAAGATCAGCATTTACCTGAAATAAAAAGCTTTTGTAACATGCACTATTCCATTCAAAAACTTGGAGTCAGTATAAATTTATTATTTTTTTGGGAAAGAAATGATAGAAATGAACACTTATTTAGCAAGGATGCTTAAAACTGATCAAAAGTGATCATAAAAGGCATTTATAATGTTACAATATTTCTATTTCAGATAACTAGTGTTCATATCGATATCGGAATTGTATCGTATCGACCGAAATTAAGAAAAATATTGACATAAATTTGGCCATATCGTCCAGTCCTAGGCTAACATGAACAAAAGTTTTGAACTACTCACCGCAAACGCACCCTAAAAACTATTTGAAAGGCAATAATCTCATTCATAAAAATGACCAAAGCACACCACATGCTCACATGAGGTGAATCATCTGCGCGCCACGTGGTTGACTAAACAGCTTAATTAAAAGATGCATTAATCTATAGTAGTCTTACGATGATGATTATTACGACATAAATCCCTGGTAAAACAATAAATACGTTACATGCTTAACAATGAAACCAAAAGCCATACACTTACCCACACACAGAGCATCAGTTTCTTCCACGACAGACTGAGGGCTCTTCCGCCCACAGTGTGGCGGTTTATATCCTGAGTAGGACCTACCTTTAGGCGTCCGTTAATAGCGCCTTTACAAAATTCAAGCAGACAGAGCTGTGGTACAGTTATAATAAACATAACATTTAAAAGTGATATTTTTCGTAACTCGCCAAAAAACTAAAAGGAGAAGATTTTTTTCTTGCTAGATATTTTGGATTTGTTATTATTTTAATCCGCTGCTTTTTTTTCTAAATTGTACATTTCCAAATGAAATTGTAAATTTGGAGTAGCCTAGTAGGCCTAGTAGGCTACTTTATATTAGTAGTTTGAGATTTAAACAGTTTTGCTTGGTTCATCAAGAGCTGTATACTTTTATAGCCATTTGTATATACGGACAGGTTTTGGACCTTTAAAAGCCAGAATCAAATCCCTGGATCAATAGATACTATACAGGCTTTTACGATATTTCTAAACTTTATTCGAACTTATATGTATTTTAGTCTATTTATTTGAAATGTAAGAATACTGTATGTTTTTCACATAATTTATTTTTGAGATATTTTTATGTTTTGTATTGTTTTCTAGCAGCTAAATGTAATACAGTAAATATGTAAAATATTGGAAAGAGGTTATTATGTGATTCTGTGGAAAGTGGTGAGGGTAAAGATGGTGAGGGTAAAGATATTTGACCCCGATTATGACCACATTGTCTTTAAAAATAGCACAGAGAGAGAACAGAGATGGTTCATTATTAATTCTCAAAATGCTATTACTATTCCTGAGATTATAAAAATATAACTGAACCATGCATGCAGAGATATTTGGGATGGGCTCTTGTCAGTGTGTACAACAGCTGCCATATTTGTAATACTGAGTCACAGAGCTTTGTTCAACACAATCTGAGGGTCTTCTCTCACCTCCCCTCCCTTTTCCTCCCTATAAGAACCACTGGACGTGCCAGTGCAGGCAGCTGTTGTGTGGACCTCTTGAGACCATGGGAATTGTGAGATTAAGCATTTTTGAGGTGAGGTTTTGAAGTTGTGATAGTAATAAATGTAGTGGTTATGCAAAAGACAATAATTCACAGAATATGAAATATGCAACACTTTACAATAAGGTTTCATCTGTTAACATTTGCTAACACAAATAATGAAAGAACAATAGTTCTGCAGCATTTATTAATCTTAGGTAATGTTAATCTCAGCATTTACAAATACATTCTTAAAATCGAAAGTTGTATCTGTTAACATTAGTTACTGAATTAACATGAACATGAACATTTTTAAGTAACAGCTTAATAAATGCTGTAAAAATGTATTGCTAATTGTTAGTTCATGTTACAGTAATGCATTATCTAATGTTAACAAAACGAGACCTTATTTAACCTTACTTTTGTTACTATGAAATCTTTAATTAGGGGGTAAGTAAAAAAGTGTGAAACAGGTATGTGTCTCTCTTTGTAGGGTTATTCTTGAATGAAACACATCCAAACTAATTGTCTGGACTGAACCCACTTCATTACCACTTTACTGTGAGGAGCAACTCTGTGTATAAATGAGAGGGAGAGGGAGAAAGAGAAAGAGAGAGGGAGAGGGAGAGGGAGAGGGAGGAGTGTTGTCATGTAGTATGATCCACAGAGCGAAAAGTCTGGTCGCCCGCAGCTGCTTCGGAAAGAGGGGGATCTGGAGAGAGGGAGGAGAGGAGCGGAGAGGAGAGGAGAGAAAGAAAGTGACAGGAAGCCACCTCATTAAACACTGACAGTGGGGTCAAAGACAGAGAGGAGAAGAAAGAGTGTGTCCAGAACACACCATAACCATATGGTGGTCTTAGAAGTGGAAAAGACAGCAGAAAAGGGGTGGTCTGTTACTTCAGAAAAGAAAAAGTGTGAACTAAAAGGAAACTTTCCCTGAAAAAGTTAGAGGTGAGTCTGTTGTGTCCTTTTTCTCTATCCTACTTTATTTTTTCATATGTTTGTGTCAGGTTAGATCACATTGCATTGATGAGTTCTGCAGTTCTTCTCATATACTATTTCTGTCTGATGCATTCATAAGTTGCTATATATTTCTTCAGTGTGTGGGTGTGTGTTGAGTTATGTGTGACACTCAAAACGGGGACAGGGGGAGGAGAGAAAAAGAGAGCCAGGGTGGGTGAGGGGTATGGGATGGGGGTTTGAGTGGCTTTGAAAAGGGGGAGAAAAGAGAAAATAAGAGGAGAGAAGAGGAAGATTCACAGCAACATAGTTTTTGATCTCCATCTTGAATGTACTATTTTGTCCTTTCCAAAATGCAGTTCTTTATAACGTGCAATTCTAGATGGTGTTTTTCTTAGATGTTTTAGAGTACCTCTACAGTTCAGTCTCCAAGTAGTGATCATTTAATTCAGTCAAGCAGATGTGTTCATGCTTCTATTTAATTGTACATAAAATTGCGATTTTATTCTGGGTTATGAAGACTAAACAGAGATGGGTTATGAAGATTAAACCCTCCTGGAGATTTTTAGGTTAACCTCAGACAAAAGACCGAATGCAAACAGGCAACAGTGGAAAAAATGAAAATACTGTTATCACATAATCACCCTCATGTTGCTTCAAACCCGCATAACTTTCTGTCTTCTTTGGAACAAAACAGGGAACATTTTGATGAATGTAGATTTTTTTTTCATGCAGTTGTGAATGCAGACGAAATCATTTAATCTTCTAAACTGATGTAAAAGTGCATCATAAAAGTATTAAAAAGTGGCTTGTGCAATATCTTTTCTATACGTCTTCTGAATTTATATGTTTTGAGTGAAAAGGAGATTGAAATTTAAATATTTATTCAGTGAAAATCTTCTCCTTTACTATTCACCCTATCTATTTTCTAAACGCATCATATTGAACGATTAATCCATGGATGGACTTTTATGTATTATTTATTTATTTATTTATATATTTTTATAATTTTTAATCAAAATGTCATATCTAAATCTTTTGGTGGAATGACAAAATGTCTCCAATCATTGAGTCTGTATAAACCCCGCCTCTTCCTTACAGTTCACCAAAAACCTGCATTTACATCCGCCTCCATCTAATCAACAACCGATGGATAAAAAAATTCCCCGTGCTACGTTTTTTTTTTTTTTTTAATTTTTCAATCTGTTTCACTCTGATGTATGTCACAAAATGAAAGAAAAGATCTGTCATTACTTCCGTTACATCGCAACTTTTAGAACTGAATCAGTCTGGTTTATGAATGATTCATTCAGATGTTTTCCCCCCTAACTAAATTAACAATTTATTCCAAAAAACAACTTATCCCCGTGCTACGGTTTTTTTTTTTTTTTTAATTTTTCAATCTGTTTCACTCTGATGTATGTCACAAAATGAAAGAAAAGATCTGTCATTACTTCCGTTACATCGCAACTTTTAGAACTGAATCAGTCTGGTTTATGAATGATTCATTCAGATGTTTTCCCCCCTAACTAAATTAACAATTTATTCCAAAAAACAACTTAAAATAACATACATGTCAGTCTGTTCCTCACACAAAGCTACAGAAGACGTAAAATATACTGTAAGAACCAAATGAACCACTTTTATGGTGCTTTTGCATCATTCTGGAAGCTTGAAAGCTTCATTGCCTGTTCAACAAACCACATATTTTGCCTTAAACAAAAAATCAAATAGAATTAAGAGAACAAGAGTGTAAGAAATTAAAGAGAATTTTCATTTTTGTGTGAACTGTCCCTTTAAGCTCATCCCTGCTCATATTCTCTGAGAGCACAAGACTGTCTGGAGGGAGAGGAACAGAGGGGGAACAGGAAGTGAGGTTAAAGTTCAAATATAGAGTGATTTACTATACCCATGACCCCTGCAGAGGGAAAGGCGATAGGAAGAGAAAATGTGAGATAATGCACTGAGGCCCATGAACCCTCTGAGAGGGAGAGAGAGAGTATTAAAGACAGACAAATAACAGCTTGTTCATGCACTTCCCTTCTGTCATCTTGTTCTCTCTCCATGTCTTGTGACAAAATGTGGTTTATTGCATTTACAGAAACAAATGGCCACAGGCATGTTGTGCTGTCTGTAGCGTGTGTTTCTGGCATGTGTGTGTTCAGGGCAGCTCAGACTGCCTGTGTGGGCATGTCAGCCAGCCACATGTGCCTGTGTTTGCAAGCATATGTGTCAAAGAGCTCATCAACATGTGTGGTTTCAGAAGAGAACTAGTGTATTTGTGCGTGTTTGAGTACTGTATGTGTTGGTGTTGGTGAACTTTCACCCCATGTTTATTTTGGGATGGCTCAAATGTCAAAGCCCAGCGCTCTGGATCACGGCAGATAGCAGTGGAGAGTATTAAGCACTATCTGTCTGTTTATATCCCACTTCAACACTCACTGAATCTGCTTTGAGCCATTTCATTTTTCACACATTAACTAGTCAGTAACATAGTTTTTTTATCCAGAAAGCTCTTTGATGCTCTGTAAACAACCTTGTATATAAGTATCCTCCTTTCTTCAAGAACTAGACTTCAAGACCGTTAAACTTGTTTGTTGGAGCCACGCACTTTCCGACGCAGTTCGTAAAATGTAGTTTAAATAGAAGAAAGCTTGTAAAACACAACGCCCTCCAAGCATGCTATTAGACACAGTATGCGATTCAGCTCTGTCACACATATCTGACTGTTGTCTGCCTGTTAAGACAAGCTAGAAATAAATTCCAGCCATTTGTCCCTCTGGCATGTCGAATGGAGAGTACTAGCCCAACTACTGACCTCTAATTCTCACAGCTAAACGAAGAAAAATAACTACTAGTAATTTTGTTCTAAAGACGTATCAGTAACTTTGTTTTGTTTGTTGCACTGTTTGATACACCAGGCATTTTTGACTTATACTGACACCTAGTGGCGTGGATGCATCATCATGCAAAAACAAATGTTTTTGGTTATCGATACCGCTGTAGAAATGTAATATACATTAGTCAGCAAGAATACATTTATTCCACAAATGAAAGTATGCAGTAAAAGAGGGTTACTGAGGTAAAGTGACTAGTATTTTGCTTGTCATGTGATTTCATGGCAGCTTCCACGAGGCGACCCGCCCTATGTAGATTAAAACACTGCAGTGGTCATCTCATGTTAATATAGATGATTTAAAAAAATTTTCAAAGGTACTATTAACTACTTTTCTGTAAAACTGTTTTTTTTTACAAGGAAAATGAGTGCACCTTTAAATGTTGCTTGTCATATCTCTATTCCAGACTCCATCATGTCAACGCTCTCGGCAGAGACAGGCCCTGAGGATGCCAACAATCAGAGCTTCTGGATGGTAAGTGAGAGGGGGAGGAAGGACAGCACACCTCTACAAAATACCATCCGCTTCTGCTTTATGTATGTGTTAGCAGAAAGAAATGCATGTGAATGATATAGCTTGACTTGGTTTTAACAGCTAAACAGTTGGAGCAACAACAGATGACAGGATTTGTTTGGACATTAAGTGGAACGCTTCACAAAAGCTTCTGAACACCCTACATTAACCAAATGAAGATTAATATTCGAGTGAAGTCTATTTGACTTCTTTGAGACTGCTGCAGCATGTTTTATGGTTCTTTAACCTTTAATCTCAGTCTATAAATTTCATCCATTGTGCCTCCACCCATTTTAATTAGCTCAGCTTTTGTCTCTCAGCTCCCTAATTGGTTTGCTGTTCTACTCTCCAGTGCTGCTGGGAATCATGCAGAACCTTGCCTTTTAATACCTTTATAAATGTTGTATTTTTTTAGACTGTAGCAATTCTGTAGTATTTTCACATTTGGCATGTTCAGATGTCTTTCTGTGTTAACCATATCACCCTATGGATACAAAATGAGGTGTATTTGCTCATGTGTCGAAATGTTAACATTTAGTTTTCTGTTTAGTTTTATTAGTGCAGTAGTTAACATATTTCTAACAGGTTTTTATGATACTAATAATGGTAATTATGCAATGATGCTGTATATATAATTACATATAGGCACTATTAACTGTCATGCTCATGTTCAAACTTACAATATATTTAGTAAGAAAGTAAATAGCAAGCTGCTATTTAGCAGTTGCTTTTATCCAAAGTGATTTACAGTATACTTATTACAGAGACGAGAGAGAAATTGATGTTAGTTACTCACACACATACACTTGTTACTGCATCATACTGAAGAAGACTTTCTCTTCACCACTGTTGTCTTTATTCTGAGTAATGCTATTTTCTATCCCCTAAGCCTCTTGGAAACCCAAAAGAAACCAGATTTTCATTACAATATTATTTAATCTGTTTATTACATGTGACCCTGGAGCACAAAACCAGTCTTAAGTCACTGGGGTATATTTGTAGCAATAGCCAAAAATACACTGAATGGGTCAAAATTATCATTTTTTTTTTAATGCCAAAAATCATTAGGATATTAAGTAAAGATATAAGTAAAGATGTTCCATGAAGATATTTTGTACATTTCCTACTGTAATTATATCAAAACCTAATTTTTGATTAGTAATGTGCATTGCTACGAAATTCATTTGGACAACTTTAAAGGCAATTTTCTCAATATTTGGATTTTTTTTTTTTTTTTGCACCCTCAGATTCCAGATTTTCAAATAGTTGTATCTCCACCAAATATTGTCCTATCCTAACAAACCATAGATCAATGGAAATATTTATTCAGCTTTCAGATGATGTATAAATCTCAATTTCGAAAAATTGACCCTTATGACTGGTTTTGTGGTCCAGGGTCACAAATAGATTTATATTCTTTCTCCTGGGGGCAGTTGGCTGGTCCCAGTAAAGTAGGTAATTTTGGGTTTTATAATCTTTTTTTGGAACCTAATGATCATTAAAATGTATTTTCATTGCAAAAAAGTAATTTTGCATCTACAGTAACTGAATATGCATGTAATAGTATCCAGCATATACATTGTTGGTGAGTTTTATCTGGTGAATATTTATGGAGTTTCCTGTGGTGATTTGTTGTTATTATCAATGACATCTAGAGCTCTTTGAGAGCCGTATGAAGCTGTTTAAGATTCTCCTCAGCTCTCTATTTAGCCTCAGCTCTTTTTGCTGAGTTGCCATCCCATCTGGAGCTTGGCCAGTGCTACGGTTTGGGGTGAAATGCTCCGACCAATGATGTTCAGTCAGTTTACAACAACCACACTGCTATCGCCTGCAAGGGTTTTGTTGCATGTCCTACCTTGTAATTGGCTGGCCGCTGACCAGAACTGAGCGCTGTAGGGTTTTTGTGTTCATCCTAGATGCTGTGATTGGTCAACCACAGCACTGACTGTAGATTTGCCGTGATGAAATGCAGAAAGCTTCGGCCAGAGTTGAACGGGGTTGATTTTTAAATAGACTTGTCTGTTCAGTAACACAGTTCTGTTTAAATATTGTGCAGCTTTGAGTCCATGAGAATGTTATATTCCGTTTGACAGGGATCGTGTTATTTGTTTGATTTCTGTAATTCTCTGATTGGTTGGCAGGTGTTGCTCTGCACTGCTCTTGGCCGGAGTTGAGATTCCTCAGCTGTTTTTACTTTTTTCTCAGACTGGGGAAAAATACGTGGTGCAAACCACAGCTAAGAGAGAGAGAAAGAGAAAGAACCGACAAAGAATAGCACAGAAGGAAGATGTAGAGGAGAGAGATGAATTAATAAAATTGTGGGGGAGCCGCTAATAAAATGGAAGAACACGCTCCACAACAGCAAACACGACGCCCAGTCTGGAAATGTCATTATGTTTGCCCACCTCCCTCATTCTCTCTCATTTATCGTGTTATTGCAGTTAATCAACCCCTTTCACTGCGCTGTCCATGTGATGCCCCACCTGAATTCTCTCGACTCGCTGGTACTCGTCTAGTCACAGATGTTTTTTTGTTATAATAATAATAATGTTTGAATTGTGCTCTGGTTTTCCACACCACATGTTGTCTTCGGGCGTTTATGTTAGAAACAAACCTTACGCTATACTGATAGCTTGTCCAATCCATAGCAAACAAACCCAGTGACCCTTCTGGAAAAGAAATGAGGCCAGTCCCTTAGAGGAGAGAGGGACATCTTCCCTGTGTCTGACAGTAAATACCTCACTCTTGACCTCTTAAACAGCCTAACCTTTAGCGCCAAGTCTTTCATTTTCTTTTCCCTCAATATTTTACAATTAACCTTACAGTTATATCCATGTTTTGTCTGTCTGTGTCTCAGACAGGGAACTACCACCGGACAGTGAAGAGGACCGAAGATGCCTTCCAGGCGTGTAATGATATAGTGGCGTGTTTCCAGGAGAGGGCCAGGGTCGAGAGACAGTACGCGCAGCAACTTAGTGAGTGGAGTACCAAGTGGAAACCTCTAGTGGATGCTAGTGAGTACTGAAGTTTTGATCAAGATGCTCTGAACAAAAAATGTATTGCTTCCTGCATACTGTGCAGTATGTATTGTATATTGCATGTTATATAAAATGTAGCATTCAAAATAGTAAATAATTGTAAATTATTTGCCACGTTTATTTATGTTGTCTTTTTATAACATTACAACAGTTCTAAGTAAATGCTAAATGATTTTAACATGACCTTATTGTTATTTAATTCAATCAGTTGAGGAACAATCAATCAAATGTTAAATGTTTAGAACATAATACTAGTGTATTTCTTACTGTATACTGTATATTGCATGTTATTTAAAAAACAGTATGCATAATAGTAAATAATAAATATTTTATGTTTACTTTACAACATTACAACAATGCTAATAGTTAGCTAAATGATTGTGACATGACCTCTATTTGAATTAATCAAGTTCAGAGTTAATATGATTGTTTTGCATTTTCAGTCAAATTTTTAAGCATATTGCATACTGTATACTGCATCCTATATTTAAAAATAGTATGCAGTAAATAACAATACATGTTTTATTGAGGTTGTGTTTACATTTAATTAATGAACTATCCTAAGCATATGCTATAATGTTGTCATGTGACTTTACTATGTTGTTCGTCTGAGGAATAAAAATATACATATGTGACCCTGGAGCACAAAACCAGTCTTAAGTCGCTGGGATATATTTGTAGCAATAGCCAAAAATACATTGTATGCGTCAAAATTATTGATTTTTTTTTTATGCCAAAAATCATTAGGATATTAAGTAAAAATCATGTTCCATGAAGATATTTTGTAAATTTCCTACTGTAAATATATTAAAACTTAATTTTTTATTAATAATATGCATTGCTAAGAACTTCATTTGGACAAATTTAAAGACGATTTTCTCAATATTTAGATTTTTTTGCACCCTCAGATTCCAGATTTTCAAATAGTTGTATCTCGGTCAAATACTGTCCTATCCTAACAAACCATACATCAATGGAAAGCTTATTGATTCAGCTTTCATGCGATGTATAAATCTCAATTTCGAAAAATTGACCCTTATGACTGGTTTTGTGGTCCAGGGTCACATATTTAGAATTTTATTTGATCAAATTTTGTCTAAGAATGACTTCAGTTTTGACAGAATGGTCATATAATAAGTAAATAATATGAAGGAGAAAGTGATATTTTATACACCATTGGAAATGAATAATCAAATTTGCAATGCATCGTGGGTTACAATATTTGCCACATTTTAGCAAATGTGGGTCTTTAATTCATACTGTTGTGTGTATACATACTACACACTGTAAAAAGATTAGTATGAGTAGTATGCTATTTGGAACATAATATAAGAGACTAAATCATGTGTCATATAGTTAAGGAGCTGTGACCTGTGTTTTATATGAGATGTCCACATTTTTAGTTTAGTGTCTGATGAACAAGTTTCTTTTTGTGACCTTAAATAGCCCTCTCATTTCTTTCATGAATATGTTTGTCTTCATCTTTGTCCAGGTCCTCTCTACGGCTCTCTGTTACGAGCCTGGCAGTGCTTCCTCTCTTCTGCTGACCGCCTCTCCTCGCTGCACTCCTCCATCTGTCGTGCTCTGGTGTCAGAGGATGGAGATCGCATGCGGACATGGCAGAAGGAGACTTTTCGTAAGAAGATATTTGGAGGTTTCAAGGAGTCCCAGGATTTTGAAACTGGTTTCTCACGTGCTCAGAAGCCCTGGGCCAAGAGACTGAAGAAGGTAATGCAAGCATTGCAGTTCTGGGGTTAAAATTAAAGTCATTTTATTTGTACACAGTATTGTAGGGACAAAAAATAAATAAAATTGTCTCTATATAAATGCTTACAAATGGTAATTGTTGAATAATTAATTTTTTAAAATGAATGAGTGCAATACTAACCCCTGGCCGCATGAATCTGACCTGAATTTGTGTGTTTTTTGTGGCAGCTAGAGAAGGCTAAGTCAGCGTTTCACAAAGCTTGCCGTAAGGAACACATGGCTCGTGAGCGGGAGGCCCATGCCCAAGGCAACCCTGACATTGCCATCGAGAAACAGAGGAAGATCCAGGAAGAGACTGAACTGGCTCACCAGGAAACCGAGAAAGTGAGTGCTGTGTGGGGGGGACTGTCAGAAAGAAACAGAAAGAGAAAAAGAAAATAACAGTTTCAAATAGTCTTTTATCATCCGAGTCAGGAAAAGGAAGCAGAAAAAAAACTTTGTTTACATTTACAAGCTTCATAACAATGCATTGAAATCATGCAATATACTGCACAGATTAATGATCAAGAATCGAATGTACAGCAAGCAACAGAAAAGAAAAAAGAGAGGATGTGGAGAATCAACTCAGGTGCAAGGGAGAAAAAACAGATGACTGTACTTGTGTTTTAACTATTTAGTAATCCCTAATACTGTAGGTGTAAATCTAGTCTTATTTGTCGTGGGACATTTTTTATTGTCATTCAAGACCCGGTTTGAAATCTGACCTGTTATAAGGATCAACATATTTTTTTATTTATTTGAGTAAAAATACAGCAGACACATTTATATTGTGAAATATTATTACAACTTAAAATAAATGTTTCCGATTTTAATATATTTTAAAATGTAATTTATTCAATGCTGATTTGGTGCTCAAGAAAAATTTCTTCTTATTTTCAATATTTAAAACAGTGTTGCTTAATTTTTTTTCAGGAATTTGTAATGAATAATACATTCAAAACAACAGCATTTGTACTAATTTATTATATAAGTATATATATTTTTTATGTATAAAAAGGTAACCATTGTTTTTATTATTTGAAAAATAACTGCTCGGACAATTTTAAATGTTTTTGACGTTGCATTTGAAATCCAGTTCAATCTGAAGTGGCACATACACATAACACATCTGACTAACTGGCTGCAAATTCCTGTTTACAGGTGCGAGCCCGCTATGAGAAGATTCTTGAGGAAGTGACGCGTTATGCTCCACGCTACATGGAGGAAATGGAGTCGATTTTTGACCAATCGCAGGAGGAGGAGAGAAAGAGGATAAGCTTCCTCAAACAGGCTTTCCTGTCCATCCACAGACACTTGGATGTCACCAACAATGAGAGGTGTGTGAGAACGGTTATACTGTACTGGTCAAATCTCAGTTTGTCTCAGTCACAATGAGTAAATCATACAAGTTCTCTCTCTCTCTCTCTCGCTCTGTTAGCGTAAAAGCCGTGTACAATGAGCTCCATAACACTCTGATGTCCATCAGCGAGCAGGAAGATTTGCGCTGGTGGAAGAATACATACGGGCCAGGAATGCCCACCGACTGGCCTCAATTTCAGGTGAATACATGAGGTTTATATTGCAAATACATTTACATTGACAAACATTAGCTAAAACTTACTTTTCACATTTTCTAAAGAAAATGTTAGGGTGTTGTGGGTGTTTGCCATTGTATTGCTATGCAGTTGTTAGGGTGTTTTGGCTGGTTTGTTAAAAGAGCCCGACGTCTGTTACCTGTACCCTTCCACTTTATTATGAAATACAGAAGTAAAGTCTTTTCTGTGACTTCTGATTTATTATTCGCTATAGGTAAATAACTAGAAGCATAAATTTATTATGATAATTGAAATTACTGTATGATCAAGCAGCATAAGTGACTGTTTTTGTACAGCTAGAAGCGACTGTGCATAGGAAGCCTCGCACATTCAAGTTACAAATGATCGCATCCGGTCTCATAGTAAAAATAAGATTGATTATCTGTGATGAGAAATGTGCAGCTAGCCACATTGATATCACTTCGTAGCAAAAACAAACTGTAACACTTTAGGCCTAAGGTTTGTTTTAAAGTATAGTTTTGAGGTTAATGCTTTCTTGAGGGTGTTAAAGTGACGTCTTTGTTGTTACACGTGATATTTATGTATCTCACAGCGGCACATAGACTTCAAATAGACTGCGTTCTGTTGTGCCAAAACCCACGTTTACTCCTTCACTCACTCCGTCTCTCGCTCTCTTTCTATTTCAGGAGTGGACTCCAGACAAGAAGCATAAAAAGGGAAAGAAGGAGGTGGAGCAGAAAGCAGTAGTGATGGAGAGAAGGTCAGTTTAATACAGTGATATTTGCTGTAGGGCTTCACAGTGCTAGGCTGCCTGACTGTTATTCACTACAAACCAAACTGGGCCTTTTTGAACTTCAGGCCTTGTTATTGTTTGCTGCTGTGTATTGGCCTGTTGCAAAGCTAGTCTCCTTGGTTAATATTACTCAGACAAGCTTGACAAGGTATGAGTTGGGGATTGAACAGTGATTTTTTACAGAAGCAAACATTGATTGGATATTATATCCAGTACTGGAATTAACTGTGGCATTGCAAAACCTTTTGGCTGTTTTTCTTTACAAAAGTCAATCATTTATGCAGTATTTGTGAGTAAGACTGTGGAGATTGTGAATCAGAATTGAGGCAAATGCTGATCACAGTCAACTTAAAAGAAAAAACTTTCATTTAAAAGACATTGCAAGTGAAAACATTACATTAGTTTCAAATGTTTCTACAACACATTCACTATGGTACTGTGAACCCTTTAGTTGCTATCAACAATACAGTACAATAATCTGAATCAATATTTAAATGCAATCATGCTAGTAACTTCAACATCCTTGGAGCAAATTCTTACTAATGCTCTACGTTCTTCGTGCTTCTGCATGATTTGAGAATGATAGGTGGCACATATTCATAACTTTTCAAGAAGATTTTAAAAAGGGAATAAATCAGATTTAATCTTTTCTATGTATTGTAAGAGCACTGGCTAACAACAAATTTTAGTATTTATGGATACATCCTGTATAAATCTATCCAAGGACAGTAATAGTCTGAAATGTTATAGTATTTAGTATCCTTTTTAGGCAGGTGTGGAAAAAAATGGACTAAAATCCTCAAAAACTTCCTTTACTATCCTTCTTTTGGTGTTTCACAGTATAAGTTTTGTAAGTTATATGGTTCCTAAAAATGTTATATTTAAGAAATAAACAAATAGACACGTTTCTATGATGTATTACAATAGAAGCCTATTTTTGCCACGTAAGAAAAAAAAACATGCTTTGATTAATCAGAATTATGACATAAAAAATATAATTATGGCAAACAAGATGAAATTATGAGATACAAAGGGTGCTTTCACACTTGGTTCCATTGCTTGGTCCGAACCCGAGTTCGATTGGTCCCCCCTCCCCCTGCCCCCGCTGGACTGTGTTCACATTATATTATTTGGGTCCGAAACGCGGTTCGTTTGCGTCATCAAGCCAGCAGCTGTTTACCCCGTTGCTTAGTAACGATGGCGCAGGAGAAGACGGCAAAAAGCGTAGCAAGGCTCTCTTCAATTTTATATTTATGTTTTTGAACCGTTGGTTTTGTTTCCAAAGCTTCAGTACTTAACGGCACTTACGTCTGCCTTACGAATGTACTGCAAATGCTCTAAAGTACTCTGAAGGTGAACAGAAATGAGATATACATACAGCTCTCTGCTTGCAGCGCGTCAGTCACGCTCGTCAAGAAAGTGAGTGAAACACACAAACACACATTTTTATCAAATAATACGTCATTAATAGCGGTTCACTTCCGTGATTTGGTACGATTGCGTTCACATCAGCAGCGAACCGTACCGGAGTTCACTTGAACCGTACCCCAGACCACCCTTTTTAAGCGGACTCGGGTA